CGATCATACCTAACTCACCAAAAACAAATGTACTGTGCCCATAGGCCCAGCACAAAAACTCATTGAATAAATGTTTTTTTTACTAATTGTCGTTGTAAACCTCATAAATGAGAGTTTCTTTAAAACCGCTCCAAGTTTTTTCTTTAAACTTCCTACATCAATAGACCAGAGTTTTATCTTGATGGTAGTGAAATTTCTACAGCTCGTCCTATCCAAATTTTGGAGTGAGGTGGAGGATGAGGAGAAAAAAGCCAAAAACTAATATTAGCACTGTTTGATTTTCGGCCGTAATAGGCTAAACATTTAAAAAATCTTAAAATAAAATAGGCATTGTTAGAATCTAGGATAATCCAAGCACATTTTATGAAAAATCCAGTTAAATTGACGCACTAGTTTTACGAAGGGAGCGAGAATAAAATTTTCCAAAATTCGCTCTGAATTAGTTTGGTTCCACCTTAATAACAAAATCGACACTCAAATAAACTTATTTAGAAGGAATTATGGTTTACAATTCTAGCAATAGAAAAGAAATGAAAGGATTCCTGGTCTAATGACACACGGCATGATGTTCGARTTCAGTTGTAATAGACATCAGAATGTAATTTGAATTAAATCTGGAATAAATTATACTTTGAGCTTCCATGATATTTTTCATGCCCCGTCAATTTTTGTGAATTTTAAGACAAGCCCCTGTTAGATTTTGATAAAAAAATTCAAATCCTATACGCTTTTTTATCCAACCCGGTACTCGGTAAAAGTGATCGGTCCCTTTTTTTCTTTCTTTGTTTCCTTTTTTTTACCTTTTTTTGTTGCTTCATTTTGTTGTTTTTCGATTTTTTTTACGGTTTTTTTTGTTAGTTTTTTAGTTTTGCCACGAATTTTTATTTATTATCTCATTTTATTGCTGTTTTTTGTTCATCTGGTAGAAGGAAATGGCTTCATGAGACATCGTTGACATTGCATTCTATACAACTAAAGCTTATCAGCTGAAAATTGCTTTCTTCGTGTTTCATTTTCTGTCAAGTTCAGTGTAGAATATAATCATATTTATGTAAAAGAAGAACATCACAGCACACCTCATTCTTGTTGTTTGTTCACAAGTCATACATTTCGTTCGTGAATTTGTTCCATCTCACACCTTTGTATTTCTTGTTTTAAATGGCTTTCTGCGCCAGTTGAATTTTCAGTTATAGTACGGGGAAAGTTTTTATTTTCATTACTATCCTGAAAGCCTGCGGTATCATTAGAATTATTTTCATGATTTGCGAATGAACATAAGTAGTTCCTTTGGAAGTGTGTTAAGTCTCTTTTTAAATCTGGTATATTGTACAGCATTACTGATGGACTTATAGCCGAGTTGGCGTAAGC